AAAGGTGCACTCCCCCCGCCCCTCCCCTCCGTGCGAGGACCCACTGCGGGAGACAAGAGGAGCGAAGACAACCGCACAGGCGAGGAGGAGCGGCGCTGCCGGCGATGTACCGTCGCTGCTGCCGTGGGGCGCTGCGGCGCCCACTCAACGCCGGCCACGTTGTCTGCGGCCTGGCGCGCTGCACCACGCAGGGCGGCCCACCCGCATCCCCCGACGCCGCAAACACCGTCCGCCGCTCCCGCCGCGCCGTTCTTCGTGTCGTGCCGGCCGATGAGGACGTGGCGGAGATGCTCGCGGCGGCCACCGCCTGCGCCGAAGGTGAGCGCGCGGAGGCCGCCATGGCGGCGGCCCGGTTTTGCAACGCTGGCGACGTCGGTGGAGGCGCACGCGCAGACGATTTCGCAGCTGGCGAGGAGGCGGAGGAGGACGACGACATCGACATCGACATCGACATCGACGAGGTGGCGCAGCGGCCGCCCACCCGCCGCGGCACCGCCGAAGCGCGGACGAGGGAACCCGCGGCGGAGGCGGAGGAAGTGCTGCAGGAGTCGCCGGCGACGGCGTTCGCGCCTCCCGTCGATGCCCTGCTGCAGGCGGAGGGCGGTGCCGCAGACCCCGCCGCGGCGCACCCCATCGTTCAGCGGCAGGCCGTTGCCCGCTCGCTGGACCCGGCGGTGTTGGTGGAGATGCTCGTGCTGTACCTCCGCGCGACGGAAAACCCCCGACTCGTCTCCGCCGACGAGGAGCACGTCTTGTTTCCGGTTGTCATGGAGCGGCTGAGCGAGCTGCACCTGCGGCAGATGCTCGACATCGTGGAGTGCCACTGGGCCCGCTCGACGCTCGTCCGGTACGGCACTGCATTTAAGGACATGGTGCGCGACCGCATCGCCCAGCTCGCATCTGCCGCCGGCAAAGAGGCCGCGCGGCGGCCGAGGCGGGCATCGCGCGCAGAAAATGGCCCCCACGCCGAGGACGACGTCGACAACACCGGGGGCCTCGACGACGACGACGACGACGCTGGGGAGGTCTACGCGCACGAGGTCAAAAACCCCGCACTGGACCCCATCCTCCTTCAGGCGCGTGACGAGATGAACCCGGAAGGTGTGCTGCGCTGCATCATCGTCATGGGCATGAGTGCGGGCCGACGAAAGCGAGATCTGCAGTTCTTTCAGGCACTGGGCATATTCCTCGTGCACCACGTCAATCACTACAAGGACCCATTGGAGTTGGTGCGTGTGCTGACGGCGTTTGCGCGCGCCAAGATTGTCCCACCGAAGGGGTTCCTCGCGCTGCTTGGGCGGCGATTCGCCGTGCTTAATAAGCGGAAGCCGCTGGGCGCCCTTCCCAGCTACCGCGCCTTTGTGAACCTGTACAAGATGGGGCACGACCAGATGAACAGCTTTAGATTTCTGGCAAACTGCATTTACGACACCATCGACGCCAACGTCAAGTCCGAGAAGAAGCGCCAGCGGTTGGTGGAGCTGCGGCGCACGCGTGACGCGGCCGACGCGGCGGCGCAGGCGGAAACTACGGAGGGCGGCGGTGAGGACGGCTCCGCGACGGTCGGTGACCTTGACCCCCAGCTGCTGCAGGTGATAAAGGCGAGGGAGCGATTCAAGCGTTTGACGGAACTGAAGCCATCGATGTTTACCAAACTCCTTCTCGTGCTCGCCCGCTTTGGTGCCCCGCACCAGCAGTACCTCCGCCCCACGACAGTGCCGCTGATTCTTCCCACCCTGCACTGCTTTCCCCCGCCCAGCTTCTCCCGCCTCCTGCGGTCCCTGCACCTCTTTAGGACAACCGACCTGGAGCTGATTGAGCCCATCATTGACCACCTCGCCGACACCCTCGGTGCCACGGCTGTCCTGCCTGAGGATGTGCTGGAGGTGGTTCGCATCGTCTCCCCCGCGGAGGTGCCAGTCCCGCGCAATCTCTCAAAGCTGCTGCTGCTGTGCGAGGCGGTGTACGCGGGTGCGGAGGTGGCGCCACCGCGGCTCATCCTTCCGAGCGACATGTGCTCGGTGGCCGCCGCGCTTCTGAAGATACAAATGAAAGAGGAGGTTCCGCTGGACGCCCTGGACCCGCTGACGCGCCTCATGGAGGTCTTTGCGGGCCGCTTCAGTGCCCTCATGAAGCTGCACGTCGTCTCCCTCACACACGTTGACATCTTTGCGGACCTGTGCAAGCAGCAGCGCCACCCGGACGTCTCTGGACGAATTGCTAAGCTCGTCGAGGAGCGGCGCCGCGTGAGCGCCGCGGAGGGGGATGACGAGTACTACAGTCGCCTCGACATTGACGTGCGGGAGACGTTTCACAAAATCATGCTGGTGAACGATTTCAAGACGTACGGGCAATACCGGCCGACCCCCGGAGTGCTTCAGGTGGACTTCCGGCAGGCCCTGACTGAGGTGGGCGCGTTTGACGTGCTGGAGGCCACGCACCTCTTTGCCCAGGCCTTCCCCAACACGCTGCAGCCGACGGTCGTGCGGCACCTCAGTCGCAGCATCCTTGCGAAGCTCGGCGGCGGCGGCGAGGAGGTCATCACTGCGGACAACACAATGGTGCTGCGCCCCCCGCGCGAGCTGCTGCTCACGAAGGAGGACCTCGCCAAGTTTGTGGCGTTGGTGCAGGCAACCCCTCTAAGCCGTGTGCGGGAGTCGCCGGTGGTGTGGCGCTTTATTGCCGAAAAGGCGCGGCGGCTGCGGATGAGTGAGGTGCTCAGGACCGCCGAGCTGCAGTCCGCCGCCGCCGCGACGGCATAGGCGGCAAAGACGTGCCGGCAAAGCAACGCAATGCTCCCCCTACTCCCCCGCACAAAGGCGCCCCCACGCGGAGGCTGGCAGAGACCCCCCAATGCAGAGCGGCGGAGAAGAGAAAGAGAAAGAGAAAAAAAAAGGAAAAATTCCTTCAGCGGCAATGAACACGCACATATATACTCCAAAGGAACGCAACGGGAAATGTCCTCGCAGGTGGTGTCTTCGTCTTTCACATTAAGTTGCAGTCGCCTGTGGGAAGCCGTGCGGAAATAACGGCACCGGCGACCGCACATTAACACGCTCATCCATAGCGTAGGGAGGGAAGGGGGCCGAGGGAAACGAAACAAACGGAAGCGGCTGCGTGATTGTGGTTGTATGTGTGTAAGTATGTGTGGGTGCTGGGAACACACGGACTCCATTCTGTTGTGTTGCCCGTTATCGTGGCAGGAATGCTTGGCACACGAACCCAAACCTCGCACCTTGCACGCACGGCACAGCAGTATATATACATATACATATATATATATGTATCTTTCTTTTCCCCTTCTTTCCCGCAGTGCCGCGCCGCAACGTTTTTTATTCTCTGCCTCAAGCTCTTGCTCCTTTTTTGTTTTGCATTGCATTTTGCTTTGAAAAAATATATATACATGTACTTTTCGTTCTTATCTCCTCTTTCCATCTGCTACTGCTTGCCGCTGCGGGCCCCAGAGGAGAACGCGATCCGGAGCTGCGGCTGGGGGGGGGGCGGCGGGCGTTGTGATGACACTCCCGGTGGACGCGGACGCCACGCCACCCGCGGTGCACTTCGAGCTGCACACCCGCAAACTCGGCGAGGATGACGCGTGCCTGCAGTGGCTCAGGCGCCGCTACTCCCATGCAGCGGCGGATGCGGACTTGCTTTTGGCACGGATAGAGAATGACTTGTCCGCCTGCGCCACGCACCGTTGGGCGCAATTCTCGCGACGTTCGCCGGTCTACGAGGCAACCCCGCCGCGGACGGACAACCCCCAATCCAACACGACGGCGGTGCGCATGGAGGAGGGCAAAGCGACCGGGCGGCACGGTGACGTCACCGTGAGCGTGCAGGACGCCCGTCCGAGGCCGGCTTCGGGGCTGCAGGAGGAGGAGCAGATGCGGCTGGAGCCCTCGCGCCATATCTTCACAGAGGCGGCGCGCAAAAGAGCCCAAACCCAGCTTTCGAAGGCAGTTGCGGCGGCCGGTAGACCGTCTGAGACGACGAGTGCGCCTCGCCCCTTTTTTGGTGGCTACTTCCTCCCACCGCACTCTGCCGGCCCGACATCTTTTCTGGTCTTTCCGCAGTGGATGCACGACGCCCGCGTGGGTGCCGCGCGGCCGCAGGAGTTGCCGTACTTCCTCCGAGGCACCATTGGCCGAAGCCCCAGCCGCATGGGCGACGACAACACGGCGAGGATCGAAGGAAGCCGAGGACCGCTGCAGGAACTGCTGACAAGCATTATTTGCAATGCGTCGTTTTCCCGCAAGTTTGCTGCCACCACGCCGCGGTGGCCCCTTTTCGACGGCGTCGACGCCGTGCGAGTGGACGTGTACGCCAACAATGCGACCGCGGAGCGTCTCAGTACCCCTCTCGCCGACGCCCAGCCGGAGCGCAAAGCGAAGCCGCGCACCCTCAACTTTTGCGACAGCGGCGCGCGCGCCTCGTTCTTTTTCCAGAACCCCCGATACTCACTCACGTTGGGCACTTCCTACCGCGTGGCGCAGCTTCCATCGCAAGCATCGGCGAAGGGGCCGGCCATCGCCTCCTTGGTACTTTTAGACGGTTACGACAGTGCGGTGCAGCGCTTTACCGCGCCGCGGCTGCATCGCTGGTTTCCTAGCGCAACTTACCATCTGCAGTGGTCTGCGGGACCGGGTGTGGAGTACGCCAGCGCGGGCAAGCCATGGACGGTCTTTGGCAAGCTGAACACAGAGTGGTGGGTGGAGTGGCCCCTCTTTAAGCGCGTCCTCGTTTGCATCCGTAATCAGTCCGCACTTGTGCGGCCACTCCCTTTACAGCGCTCGAAGGAAGTCGCCGTGGTGAGTGACGGCAGCCATACTGCAGCTGCCTCGCCTCACGGCAGCGGTGGTGAAACACACAGCCTGTTTTGGGCGACGCAGGGGCCGAGGTGGGACGCGAATCTTGTGCGCGGCTTCAAGGACGACTACGCCGCGATGCACTACGCCTCACGCTGGTACACGCTCGTTTCTGCGGAGCTGGCCTCCAGTACGCGTCGACGGGAGCGGGGCTCGAAGGGGTGGAAAGCCCCCACCTGGATGCTCTACGCGAATGCCTGCTTCGTGGACTCGCTCACCGCACCGCCGCGGGCGTCTGTTGGCTTCGCCTTTTCCGGAACCCCGCGCGGCACCACTGACGCGTTTAATGTCCTCACCCCATTCTCCTTCGACTGCAGCTTTAACTGGCGGCTGGACTTCAGTCAGGGGCGGCCCGCGCTGGTGTCAGGCGTTGCCCCCGGCCAACGAGCCGAGTCATCGGTGCTGCGGCTCTCCCACGTCGAAACCTTCCGTCATTTTCGCTGCGGATTGACGTGGAGGGCGTGAGGGAAATTCGCCACCTCCCTGGAGGAACCCACACGCTTGTTCCCCCCCCGCCTGCGCCCCAGAAAACAGCAACAGCGGCCAGGAGACAGTCACGCAACGAGGGAGGTGAACGCCGCTCATGCCACTGTGTGACTAAGTTGATCAGCAGAAAGGCGCCAAGGGGAGAAAAGAAAAGAGTTGATAGAGGACACGGTTTTCTGCCAGCACCTCCGCTGTTTTTTCTTTTCTTTTCTGTTGTTACGTCAGTGGACACAGCGTTATGGCCGCATGAGGGGAAGCTGATGCCCCCCGCTGCACTTTTCTTACCCTTCACACGACAATGTTCAGGCGGACCGTACAAAATTGGGGAAAAGTCGATCCCGGCGTCTCTGTGTGCAGTTTATGCTTTTGCCCCCCTCATGTAAGCAGTGCCGCTGTGCCGGCCGGGGCAACAAACAAACGACGTTACGGAGTCGCGAGGACAGTGCCGAAGTCACCGAGGATCGACCGCGGCCTCTGCTGCAGAGACTGTCTACGTTTAGATTGTACTGCACGCTTTATCTTTTTTTTTTGCCGCTTGGGCCTCACCCCACACTGTCCTCTGGTTCACTTCAAACAACCCATTGCGTGCGCACAATTACCCCCTTTTCCCCGTCCAACACGCACGCGTATGATCTTCCATCAGCCTCTTACTTTTTATATATGCATGTTTTTGCTTCTTGGTGTGCGTTGCATCTCGTATTTTTCTTTCCTTCTTCTTTTTCCTGGGGGTGCCGTTCTTCTGCCCTCATGCTCCCCGCTGTTTGCCTCCTCCCAATGTGTCTCCCGGGCTCCAGAATCGTTATGAACGTTGACGTCATCGATGCGACGGCGGAGGCGCTCCCGCTGGAGCTGTTGAACGCAACGAACAAGGAGCTGACGGCGCAGCTGTCGCGGCACGAGCAGCTGTGCGATGAGAAGATACGTGCGATAGAGGACCTGCGGAGGCGGCTGCAGTTCATGAAGGAGCACCTCAGCAACGTGCGTGGGGAGATCGTGAGCACCCAGAGCCTGGTGGAGTGCAAGCGGCGCGAGGTGGAGTCCGGAACGCACATGTACC